TCTCTCTCTCTCTCTCTCTCTCTCTCTCTCTCTCTGTGTGTGTGTGTGTGTGTGTGTGTGTGTGTGTGTGTGTGTGTGTGTGTGTGTGAGAGAGATAGAGAGACGACACAAACGTACACACACACAGACAGACACGGACGGACGGCAGAGATTACGATGAGCGAGTTCTTGTCGGGCAATCGAGTGGTGTCTGACCTTGCTGGATCGGCGACGAAGCGCCGCGTCGAATCGTGAAGCAAAGGAGACAGAGCATGGCACTTCTCCCATGGGAGGGGGGAGGGTAGGTAGTACTACTCCCTTCAGAGGCGCTGCTGCTGCGCCCACTCGCCTTCCCGCTTGACAGAAACGGGACAGAATCCACAGCAGGTTTTCCTAAATCCCGCAAAGCATAGAGTTCTCAGAAATGGGACACCGAGCGGCCGAGCGGGGACAATTTGGCCGAAGGGGTGGAATGACAGACTCACAGAGAGAGAGAGACAGAGGGAGAGGGAGAGGGAGAGGAATCGGCGGAGGGGAAACACAGACACACAAGAGTAGCAGAAGGACACGAGGAGGAAGAGGAGAAGCAAAAGGAAGACAAGGACAAAGGGTGAGGGGGAAGAGACAGAGCCGTGCGGGGGAACGTGGGAGTTAGCGGTAGGACAAGTGGGGAGCGAACGACGGCTGACGCTAGTGCCAGGGAGATTACGCATGAAGATGAAGAGACGTACGTCGGCCGATTGAACCGCCCACAGGCAGACCGTAATGGGAGAAGAGCAAGACAGAGAGGGAGAGAGTTCTCTCTTCGGCAGCATCCGGGCAGTGCGGGCGGACCGACGGGAAGGGAAGATGGAGAGAGACTACGGCGCACGGAACCTACATGTACCATTTACCGCGAGTGAATTACAAAAAGAGTCGGCGGGGGGAGGGGTAAGGGGTAACTGCTCAGGGTTAGGTCCCACTTACACGAATGAAGAGAGATACTGACCGTCGATAGCACAGATCAACGGTCAGAATCTCGTAATCCGTGCAAGTGGCACCTTGCCCCGGTCCCCCAGCCGGCCCGCCTCCAAGTTTTTCGATTTCGACTCCTACCCGTCTTCCCCCGAACACAACGCACCCCCATTTTGCCTGTATCGGGCCGGAAACGTACCTTGCAAACGTTCATTTTCAGGGTGCGTTATGTTCGGGGGAAGACGGTAGTTAATCCTCCCCCCCATCCCCGATACCGCTTCGCTCGACCCCGGAGCGTGGTCCCTCCAGCAAAGAGGATCCGATCGCATGCCTGAATCTGGACGAGTTTATGGAGCTGTGCAGGAAATCGAGATTGAACAGCTTTTCTGCATCTCTGCTGAAACACATCCAGA